GGTCGGAGGGCGGGGCTTAGTGTGCTAGGGTGTAAATGCGTGACTATATTCTTTTTGTGAAGATTGAATGTGAAAAAACGACATTGAAAAAAGTTATAAAAATTCAGAACTTACGTCACTTCATTGTGAAGTGGGCGGAGTCAGTCAGTATGTGTCGGTAGCAAACCTATTCAGTTAAATGTGTGTGTCAAGTAGCAAAAGAAAAAAAATTTGAAGAAGCAGAATTCATAAAACATTTGGAAAACCACGGCCGCGCTAAGAAGTGGGCGGGGGTGTTGGGACGGGGCTTGCAGCAGTACCCAGTGTGGTCTAGTTCTCACAGCCCATTGTGGGGTGTGATCGTATTGTTCGCGATTTGGTTGAAAGTGTCCGATTTAAAGTGAAAAGTGGTATATACTGATATATCCATGCAGTACCGCGGCCGCTTCATGTCAATCCCTTCGCGTCATACAGTATTTCGCAAATCAAGGGATACGAGCATTAGCATCAATCGAACATTTGTAGGCGGACGAGCGACGGGTCGCTATTTTACAGCTCGATAGGGCGGCATAAGGGTACCTTCCTTGGGAAAGGCGCTACACAGCGCCTGCTCAGAGGTCGCGGAATTCCGTCCTGCCAAGGCATATTAATCCTACTCGTCTTAGGATTTATCGTGCCACTTGCCTTTTAATGGCTGTCACTTTGGCAGAATCACAGCCCAACATTGAAGAGCCTTGTTAAAAACACCGCTAGCTTCGCTTCCTGGAGTCAAGTGCACTCACCTTTCAGCTCTTTGGAATTCATGCAAGTAGAGGTCATTATGCTACTGCAATAGTTCGAAAGAGCTGATGACGATATTTTTACTTCAGGGCAATGTCCATATTGTTGAACGTAGTAAGTAGCCGCCGAAGAACATGTTTTCTCTGAAATTGAGCAAATGAAAAAGGAGAAAGTTTTGAGCGTTGTTCAGTCTCCTCTTCGGAAGCGCAACGCATTTCATGACACTTGGGAATCTTCGCCCATACCATTATCGCAGAATAAGTCGTTAACAGGCAAAACTCATATGTTCTCTCTACATCGAGCTACGGAAAATCCGACTAGCTAGCGGTAGAGTTATTTAGAATCGATACTGCACATATGAGACAGTCGTCATCCGGGCAGTTGATTAGGCGGTCGTCGAAGGGCCGCAGACGTGGCTTGCGGCGATCAGCTGTTTCCGGCCTGGTTTAATCATTTTCTCCCTACTTTTCACTGTTTTTGGTTGCATTTCTCAGAGCTAGGTAAATTAGGATTGAGATTTCTCTGATTTTTGAGAACAATTAAACAATTAAACAAATACCTAAAAATTGTAGAAACACCTCACCACAAAAATAATGCACATCTCAATATACTTCATAAATACAAAAAGTAATTTACCTCGTGAAAAATAGAAAATACAACGAAAATTACGGACAAAATGGCTAAACCAAGTTGGAAACAGCTGATCGCCGCCAACAGTTCCTACCGCGGTCGCTGCTGCAGCCGCGTCTGCGACCCTTCGACACCGCCTAGTCAACTGCCCGGATGACGACTGTATGGCGCCGGTAATTGCCTCAGTGTTCACTCTGTCTTCCTATCTTCTAGAGAGTGAAGGGAGATTAAGGAAATAGCGTTAAGAACAGATGCTGAAAGATTTTCGGAAATATTGCTCACCTAGTGCTTTCTTCACATCATTAGGTGAGAAAAGATTGATTAGTTTTGCATGTTCTTCTCTCAGTCCGGGGCGATAGAGAGCTCCAAAGTCCCAGAACCCCATGCTCATTGCATCGGATACCTTAAACAGACAAAAAAAATGAAAAAAGTGAAAACGGTCAATTTGCTCACGATGCTTTCACCGTTATTTCATATTTATGTGAGGCACAAAAATGCGCGCAGCTATACGAATTTCTACAGTTAAGAAGAAAGTAAATTCAAAATAAGTCTTTATGAAGTAGAACCTTCAAAACAGCCTCACCGTTTTCAGTGTCGTCAAGCGATCGTCTATTGCTCTAAGGAATGCGATACCATGTGGTTCCCCATTCATCGTTATTGTGACGGTCGATCCTGGCTTTATGTTGTCCCGCGAAGAAAATAGCGAAACCTCAAGAATTGTCAAGTCACGGCGGAACCAGTCCGGAATCTGACCCCCGGGCGCGTTCGTAATAAGGGGTGGTATGCCACTGCGCCATCTCCACGGCGAAATTTTTGAATAGTGTCGAAATTCGGACCAGAAAACCCAGCAGTACAAAAAAATTACTGCCCCTCTAGATGCCTACTGTATCATACCTCGCATCGATCCTTAACATGGAACTGGACCATATCGGCTGTAGCTTTGGCATCCATCGAATATACGAAAAGTGCACAATGTCCAACCATGGCGCTTGTCACCTTTATTATTAGAGCTCCATCATCTCTGCACCCCCCTCGCACTTGTCCTGTTGTTACTATCGATCGGGAATTGCAGATTACCTACAAGTGAGAATCAAAGTTTCTGAACACCATATGAAAAGCGTACAGAACGAAACTCGTGGGGATGATTAATTTCTGAACCCGCTAGCAGCGTTCAGAGTTCGCGACGCGCGTCGACGCTCTACGTTCGCGCTACCATTGCAGCAGCGCTTCAGTGCTATAGACGGAGATGCAGCCATATACGTAACGGTGCGCCGATCGCTGGGTTTTGGGAGGGTCTAGAAGAATAGGAGGGCTCCGACTTGGCAGCGCGTACCCTCCTGTCCTTCTTACACTCTCAGAGCGCGCGGCCGCGAGAACGCTAGCGGCCGGCGCCGATCGATACCCGTTTATGTCTGCGTTACGTCAGCTTGTGAGGCGACGCTGACTAACTTGGGGCACAGACCACCTTATCCACACAGAACTTCGATTCTCATAAGTAATCGCTGAATGGGCTTTTTCTAGTAAAGGTTATATTCTTGGACGAGATCACTTGGAGTCGTACTAGTATTAGCAACAAAACTTGTATTGAGAACCTACTAACCAAATAGTTCAGCGATCGTGCCACACGCTTTGGTACAGTAGCCTGGAGACGATCTCCAACAGAGTACGACCCACGAAGAGAGGGAACTTCAATCCAAGATGGCTCTAATGACGTCACTCCTTCCATGTTTGGAAGTAGTAAAACCTTTGTTCGGGAGACCATTTTGCCAACATTTCGCACTGCCTTGAACATAAAATGAAAGTGATATTTCAGTGCTATTTTGATGTTAGGACTCACCTCTACCATTATCAGGCTACACTTATTCCAATTCGTTGGGTTCTCAACGCTAAGCACTTCACCAACTGTAGTCTGCAGGTGAATGGGTGGTCGCTTTGTATCGCCAAGGCACTTGAATGTAACATTCAATTCTGAGCCAAGGGGAGTGCTGACTGGGTGCGTCTGAAAGTCATGCTCTTCTTACAGGCCACTGTAACCCTCGAAAAGTATTTCTCGATCTGCGAAGCAGTCGAATCTCACCGTAATTTGAATGTATTTAGTACGGGAATTGAACACCGGTCTCAGTGGAACAATTTCGAAACCAGGGACGAGTGGATCAAATAAGATCAGCGATTCACCACGGTTGCCTGTTCCGTGGTCGCGAATTTGCACTAGAATTCTCGCAGCCTGACGACGATCATCCGTGAAGCACATCGTCATATTCACTGGTTCCTGCCACAGTCCGTCAACTATCTGAAAAAATTAAGTCGGTCCCCTGCAGAAAGATAGGGGCTGCTACA